GCTGCCTGCCAGACATGTGTCCGCTTGGGGGTCCCACAGGTGTCTCAAACCAAGTACCCACATGAACTACTTTCTCAACCACCTCCCATGACTTGCTGGTACTTCTCCCACATTCCCTATCTTGTTACCAATCTACATAGGAAACATAATCTGAGACTCTTCCTTCTCATTCTCTCATGTCCTATTAGTACAAGTGCTTCTGATTCTACTTCCTCAATCTTCCCCATCCTACCTCCTCTCCGCCCCCATCCCACTGCCTCAGTCCTTGTAAAAGCCTTCTGAATGATCTCCCTATCTCAAATTTCCCTCTGCTCCAATATTTTCCAGACATCCCCCCCAATAATCCCTCTCATTTGTTAATCCAGCCACATTCCTAGGGATGACTGATATGAACTGGTCGCTCTCAGCTGGCTAGCTGTTCACGGATGGCACAGGCTTGGATAGGTAAGTCGCTATGTCAGATGGTGGTCAAACATTTTGTATATCACCCTGATCATTACCCCTTTGCGGAAACCATGCACTAGCTCCCCAACAGCTCAAAATAACCTCATCTTTTTAGTGTAGCATTTGCCAGCACCCAAGCCACACCATCATGCTGCCTAACCTTGTCTGTGGGTGTCACAAGAGTAGGGCCTCCTCACTGGGGCGTCTATGGGTCCACGTGAGTTCATGTGGACGCGGTGACAGTGGGGGAGGGGTAATGTAAACTTGCTTGGGAAACAGATGACATCTTTATTTTTGCTAACCTCTAACTATAATTTCGTACTTCCTTCAATTAGGAATACAGGCAACAAACAATAGTTGTATGAGTAACACCTATATTTTGTGACCTATAAAACTATGGAAATTTTCAAATCACAGGAAACTTGAAGATAACTAAAAAGTTATTTATGCTCATTGCTACAAATTTACAATTTTAATTCTGACTATTATATCTCATTATTTAATGTGTTAATAAAGGTGCACATACTATATACCACAAATTTGTTTTTTTAAGTTATTGTGATAACTGTACTTCAATACAATTGCTTTTTTTGGTAGTAATTTCATGTATTTATTTTACATACTTAAAAATGTTATTCTGAGTAGGGGTCCATACATGAGAGGGACAAAGAGACCCCTGGCACAAAAAAGGCTTAGAATCTATACCCTGATGGCTTCCCCATCCATCCATCTAGTACACATTAACTTATTTATTAACTCTGCAGGTATCATACATTGTTCTGAGTCTTTAGAGATACCAAGATGAGAAAAACATAGTTTCTGACCTGTAAGTAGACAAGAGGGGCAAACTGACTACTTAAATTACTGTGTAAAAAATGCAATATCATAACTACACAGGGAGCCAGGGAAGCTGCAGGAGGGACATCTAACCAAAACCAGGGGCTGGGGCTGGGGAAGGCCTCTTGGAGATGACAATGGAGCCAAGTTTTATTTATTTATTTATTTAAAGATTTTATTTATTTATTTGAGAGAGAGAGAATGAGAGAGAGCACAAGGAAAGAGGGTCAGAGGGAGAAGCAGACCCCCCGCTGAGCAAGGAGCCCAATGCGGGACTGGATCCTGGGACTCCAGGATCATGACCCGAGCCGAAGGCAGTCGCTTAACCAACTGAGCCACCCAGGCGCCCCTATTTTTTTTTTTTTAAGATTTTATTTATTTATTTGACACAGAGAGACACAGCGAGAGAGGGAACACAAGCAGGGGGAGTGGGAGAGGGAGAAGCAGGCTTTCTGCCGAGCAGGGAGCCCGACATGGGGCTCGATCCCAGGACCCTGGGACCATGACCTGAGCCGAAGGCAGACGCTTAACAACTGAGCGACCCAGGCGCCTCTGGAGCCAAGTTTTAAACGACAGGTAGGATTCAGTCCGGTGAAGACAGAACACGATCTATGATGCCACAGGTCATGGTACACTCTTTTAGAAACAACTATGAGTCTGGTATATTTGCTCCAAGAAAGGGAAACAACTTTATGTAGTACTGAAGCACTGCTAATAAATGCAACTGTCTGATACTATGTATAATGTCTCTAGACCTGGGAGGGAGTCAGGCAATCAGCCCAGTAGATTTTTCAGAGTTAAAAAGGCCCATTTACCTCAAGAAGATAAAAGTTCTCTTCACATGGACAATGGAAATCCAGTGGTAGAAAATTTGAATGTAGAGCCAAAGCCTGCTGATTATGGTATGATAGTTTTCTAGGGGATCAGAAAGAATCCCAAAGCCGTCCACATGATGTAGTAGAGACTATTTTTAGACTTTCTTGTGGCTTCCTGACTAGATGGCACAAAGACACATTTTTCAGAACTGTTTTAAAATTTGTTGAATAATTGAGATACCTTAAAGTATTTTTGCAACAAAATATGTGGTTCATGGAGTCTCCACACGGGACAGTCCTGGATAGGTAGGAAGTTTTTGAACCCCTATACTTGCGGCTGAAATGGGACAGAGTATCCTTGACCAGAGTATCTAAGAAGGGATATGTCTAGTCTTGGAAATCGGTTTTCAAGTTGAAACACTTATCAGGATTGTTTGGAAGGCAAGAGGCAATGCCCACCACCTTCCTAAGACTATGTGCCCTTTCAAGTTTCCTTATTTTCTCAAGCAGACTGGGACGTCTGTTGAATCAACCTTCACCAATATTAAATTACAGCATGTTTCCTCTTTCTTCATTACAGAAACAAAAAGTTGTAATAAACTTTCTGTCTCTCTGTACCTCGTTTTGCTTATTCTAGTGGAGAGATCAAACTGAGCCGGTACAAAGGATAATCAATTAATGGCAAGGTAGTTTTGCATCATTAAACTAAACAATGCCTTGCTTTCCCAAATTCCACAAGTCCCTTTAGTGCTGTCTCAAAAAACAAAACAAAACTATTCTCTGTAGTTGGAAAAGTTTATTCCTGTGACTGTGTTAATAATAACCTTGAAATGGCCTGCCATCTACCATTATACCCCCATTTCTCTTTTAAAAGTTTCCGTGAACTTACAGTCCTGACACAGTTACCACAAGCAGACTTCGATCTGGGAATGATTACACTTGCATATGGATTTAACTTAGGACAGGAATAAGTTAGCACCTTCTTTTGACCTCTTTCTGAGCACAACATACAAACAGAATCCAGAAATGATGAGTACTTTATAGCAGCTGGCTTCCACAGGTGGTAAGACAGGCTTTGACACATGATGGGTCTAGTCATTCTGCAAGTGTGAATTTTGGAAGTGGGCATCTTATTAACTGGGAATTGAGTTGTTTTTATGAACTTCTGGCCTTGAGAACTTAAATGCATTTTTGAAACAAATTCACTTATAATTTAGCTGAAAAATAAAATACTGTTTTTCTTGTATTTTTACATCCTTCAGTGACTGGAAACAGCTGAAAGCCCTGGAGAAAAGTGTTTTTCTGAGGCCCCAACCTCCCCCATTCAGCTAGTGAGGGTTTCCTTCTGGCTTCAAAATTTCAATCTCTAGCCAAATGCTGTTTTAGAAAAAGATGACCACTATGGCCATAAGTCAAACACAGATTTTCAAAAGTCCTCTCCGGGTGAAGCTCCTATAGATCAATATTCTGAAAATATTTTTTTAAGAGAACATATACATTTTTGCTTTAAGATAATTGTATTGGGTTCTAGAAATATGAATTAACACTGTAGCAAGTTGAAGTCAAATGTCTCAAAGTTTATGAAGACATTCTAAACCTAAGGGGAGGGTATCTGAGATATGACTTGCAGACTGTAGGTTCTTGGGCCCTGGAAGAGCTGACTACTCAGCAGGGCTCACTGCACTGGGCCCTGCAGATGTCACAGCTCAGCACTGACTGTAAAGCTCTAGATTCTAGATTAGCACAGCCCCCCAGAAATATATAAGCACATATGTACTTTAAAACTTTCTAGTAGCTACATTAAAAAGTATAAAAGAATGGATGAAATTATTTTTAACAGTCTATTTTATTTATCCCAATAGTCTAAAATATTATCATTTCAACATGTAATCGATATAAAAATATTATTGAAATATTTTATCTCTTATGGGTACTAAGTTTCTGAAATCCAATATGTCTGTTATACTTACAGCACATCTCCTTTCAGACTAGCCACAAAGAACCACACGTGGCTGGTGGCTATCATATTTAGACAGTTCAGTTCTATCCTATTCAGAATGGACAGCAGACAAATAATGCCATGGGAGTACCAGAGCCACCAATTCTAGGGTTCTTAGACATATTCTCAAACACAGTACCCTCACAGTTTCAGAGACTGGTGCTTCCAAATGTGTTTGTGTAAGACTCTAACATTTGGGGGTGCCTGGGTGGCTCAGTCAGTTGGGTGTCTGCCTTCGGCTCAGGTCATGATCCTGGGGTCCTGGGATCAAGCCCCCCACCAGGCTCCCTGCTCAGCGGGGAGTCTGCTTCTCCCTCTCCCTCTGCCCCTCTCCCTGCCCATGCTCTCTCTTTCTCTGGAATAAATAAATAAAATAAAATAAAATAAAAAAAGATGCTAACATTTGGAGCAGTAACTCCCAAATGCTAAATATTTCAATCTTTGCCTTTCTGCACCTCCTTGTATAGAAATCTGGTCTTGGTGTCAGAGCTGAACATTCCTATTCTAATGCACTGGAGAATAAAGAAAGACAGGCTGAGTCAACAGGTCATAGTGATGTTAGTTCTTGTCCAGTGTTTTACTCACATTTTGATATAACTCATTTATTTGATAAATATTATTGAGATCTCCTCAGTATAAGACCCTAGACAGAAGCACTGATTCTAGAAACAAACCTAACAAAAACAGGTGGTAAACTTTATTTAAGAATATACTGAAGTGTATAGTCAGCTTTACTTACTTCCTATGCAACTTTCAAGATCTGCCTTATTTGAACTAGAAGTAGAACTCTGTGTGAAATCTACAAACCCTTGAGGTCTTACAGACTCTTAACCAATTCTAGCACTTCATGCTCAGTAAATATTTCTGCCCATCTACTTACTTCCTTGCAGCACCAAAGTGATTACCTTAGGTAAGTATGTCTTTATGGTTTCGTTGTCTCTCTTCACCACCTTCATCATTTCTTGGCCCCCAAGGTAGGCAACATTAGCTACATTTAAAAAAAAGAGTCAAACATTTAGAATACAGAGAACGAACACAAATGTCAAGTTAATTGGATTTAATTCCTGTTCCCCCTTTTCCTTTCAGCAAGCACTGTCTTGCTGATGTGAGGTGTCACTGAGGCCAAGAGAGGTATGTTCCCCTCACCTGCCTTTCTCGACAGTGGCACACAGCAGCGACAGGACTGCCGAATGTCAGCCACCACAGCTGATGGGGTATGGTGTACCCGATCGATGTGTTTTTGTGATTTAAGGAGTAAAAGCACACACTTCTACAGCTAACTCATGTATACCAGGGAAACTGCATGCAGTTACTAATGTGAAACTTTCCTGACCTTTTATTTATTTATTTTTTAAAGTTACAACTAAAATGAATGTTTATTTTAAAATAGGTTTAAAGGCTCCCTAAGAGTTTTTACTGAGGGTTAGTTCCATTGTACTGACTGCATAATGAGCAAAGTTGACCCTCTCCGTTTCAAGATGTCACATATCGGAGAAAGAGGAAGAGAATCCGAGACAATGTGAATTTATGTGGCTTTCTCGTACTGGTCTGCAAATTTTCATTAAATGCTGTGTGCCTTGGGTTCCATTTTGATTGGTGTATTACTGTCACTTTGCTTGCTTTTCTGTTATCATCTGCCTGATGTATGTGTCCTTTTCTTTATTTTTCAATCTTTCCTCATTTTGTTTTAAGTATGTCTCTTGAAATCATAAGCAGACCTCTTTAAAAATGTAATTTGAAAGTATCTCTTAAATAAAGGGACTTAACACAGTCACATATATTAATATAAGAGAGATCTGGTCTGACTCCAGTCATCCTGTTTTGTATATGCTTTGCTTTCTTTTGATTTCCAACTCTCCTTTCTACTCCCTTTAGTGAATGATGTTTTCTTCTCCTATTTATTTTAAAGTTCATTTATTTTTTTTAAGTAATCCCTACACCCAACATGGGGCTCGAACTCACAACCCTAAGATCAAGAGTCGCATGCTCTTTTGACTGAGCCAGCCACATGCCCCTTTACTATCTCTTAAAAATTTCTTTTCACTAAATAGTCTGAAAGCACAAATTCTGTTTTATTCACCAAGTGGTTAGCTGTACCTAAAATTTTGGAAAACTTATATTTTTTTCTATTGCTGTCTGGAATTAATCAGTGTCAATAATCTCTCCATCCAAACAAGGTGGCCCCTGGCATCCTGCACTTTCCTCATGCCTTCCTTCTACCCTGTCTCTTCCTGGGAACTGTAGGTAATAAACTCTTACTCCAAAGGCAGTTCTCCATGCGTGTCACTTTACCACCGCTGATTCAAACAAATTCTGGACACACTGTAAAACAAGGAGACCGAGCTGGTATTCTGGGGAGGTCAGTGCCCTGCTTTTGTAGGGCAGAGTAGTGGAGGGGAGAGAGCTGCCGAAAGAGGGGGTGGGGAGGAAGCTCCAGAGATCAGCAGAGGGTTTCTCTTCAGCTCCAGCTAAGTACTAATTGGCACTATCATGTCGGACACCACCAGAAGCTGGGGAATGAACCACCTGAAAGGACTTGGAGGGAACAATGCCCAAACTGAGAGTAGTTATTGTTTCCACTGGCCTAGTAGGAAAATCTCGTAATTCATGGTGTATCAACTGTAGAACTTGGAAAAGTTTTGCCTTGGTAATGGGGTGAAATTAGCCGTAAACTAAATGTGTCTTGCAACCAACTAACAAAGCTTAAAAGCAAGAACAGAAAGTCTTAAACTATTTCCAAATAACATAACTGTCCTGTAACAAAGCTCAAGAATATCTACATAAATACAAAAATATCCAGCACCCAAAAAGGTAAAATTAACAATGTAAAGCATGCCATAAACAGTTATCAAACATGAAAGGCAAGAAAATACAACCCAAAATAAGGAAAAAAAATAGTTAAAACTGACTCCAAAATGACAAAGATAATAAAATTGGCAAACATTCAAGTAATGGTGCTGGGAAAACTGGATATACACACACACAAGAATGAGTTGGACCACTACCTTATACCATATACAAAAATTAATTAACAATGGATCACAGTCCTTAATTTAACAATTAAATCTATCTATAAAAGTCTTAGAAGGAAATATAAGAATAAATCTTTGTGATCTCAGATGAGGCAATGGGTTCTAAGACATGACACTAAAAGCACAAGTGAGAAAAGAAAAATAAACTGGTTTTCATAAAAATTACCACCATTCGCACTGTAAAGGACCCCATCGAGAAAGTGAAAAGACAACCCAAAGAATGAAAAAAAAAATCGTATATCCAATAAGGATCTAGTATCCAGAATATATAAAGAACTCTTTATATAAAACTTGATTAAAAATGGGCAAAAGGGAGTACCTAGTGGCACAGTTAGTTAAGTGTCCAACTCTTGGTTTTGGCTCAGGTTGTAATCTCAGGGTCATGAGCTTGAGCCCTCCATTGGGCTCCACACACTCAGCTTGGAGTGTGCTTGAGTTTCTCTCTCCCTCTTCCTCTGCTCCTCACCCCCATGCTCGCATGCGCTCTCTTTCTCTTTCTAAAATAAATAAATAAATCTTAAAATAAATAAATAAAAATGGGCAAAGGATTTGAATAGACCTTACTCTAAAGAAGTACAGATGGCCAGTAAGTGTGTGAAAAGCTGCTCAACATCATTAGTCATCAAAAAAATGCAATCAAAACCACAGTGTCATACCATAGCACATCTAACAGGATGGCTACAAGAAAAAAGACAAACAAAAGCCAGTGTTGACAGGGATGCAGAGAAACTGAAGCCCTCATACACTGTGGGTGGCACTGTAAATTGGTACAGGCACTTTGGAAAATAGTTTGACAGTTGCTCAAAATGTTAAATATAGAGTTACCGCATATATCCAGCAATTCCATTTGTATGCACAAACCCAAGAGAACTGAAAACAGAGGTCCACAGAAAATTTGATGTGAACATGTACAGCAACACTGTCCATGATAACCAAAAAGTAGAAACAATCTGTATGGTCATCAACTGATGAATGGAAAACCAAAATATGCATAAAATGAATATTATTGAGCAATAATGAAGTACTGATACATGCTACAACATAAATGAACCCTGGACACACCATGCTAAATGAAAGAAGCAAGTCACAAAGGGCCACGTACTGTATAATTCCTTTTATGTTAAATGTCCATTATAGGCAAATACATTGAGAGAGAAAGTAGATTAGTGGTTGTCAGGGACTGGGGGAAGGTGGAAATGGGGAGTGATGGGCATGGGGTTTCTTTTTGAGGTGATGAAAATATTCTAAAGTCAGACATTTGTCAAGGTTGCATTACTCTGAGAATATACTAAAAAACAACCACTGAAGAGTGAGTTTTATTGCATTTTAATTATATCAAAATTAGGCTATTTTTTAAAAATTGGTATTCACAGATATTGAAAGTTTTATAACCTATTCCATATATTTGAGAAGTGAGAAATATTGAGCATGTTAAACAGAATTAGGGAAGATATAAGAAAGACTCATATCAAACTTCTAGAGATGAAAAATACACCAGATGGGATAACAGCAGAGTAGATATCATAAAAGAAAAATTAGTGAACTGAAGACATAGCAATAGGTACTATCCAAAAGGAAACACAGAAAGAAAGAAACTGGGGTGGGGGGGGGGCAAGGGGAAGACCAGAACCTCGGTGAACCACAAGTGAACTTCAAAGTAGTGTCATACATCATATACCATGTAATTGGAGTCCCTGAAGGAGGGAGGTACAGAAAAAATACCTGAAAAAATATTAAAATATTACAACCATAAACCCACAAATTCAAGAAGCTTAAAGAATCCCAAAGCACAAGAACCATGAAGAAAACTATACCAAAGTATATAATGAATGGCTTCAAACTAGTGATAAAGAGAAAATCTTAAAAGTAGACAGAGAAAAACGATTTACAGTTGACCCTTTTACAGCATGGGTTTGAAGTGTGTGGGTCCACTTATACACGGATTCTTTCTGATAAATACAGGACAGTACTGTAAATGTATTTTCTCTTACTTCTGATTTTCTCAATAATGTTTTCTTTTCTCTAGCTTACTATATTGTAAGAATACAGTATATAAAAATGCAACATACACAGCATGTGTTAATTGACTGTTTATGTTATTGGTAAGGCTCTGATCAACAGTAGGCTATTAATAGTTAGATTTTTGGGGAGTCAAAAGTTATACACAGATTTTTGACTGCACAGGGGGTTGGTGCCCCATCCCTCATATTGTTCAAGGGTCAACTGTATTACATACAGAGGAACCAAGAGTTAACATGACAGCAGATTTCTTCTTGAAATGATGTAACTAGGAGACAATGGAGGAACATTTCTAAAGTAATGAAAGGGGAAAAAAACTTGCCAATCTATAATTCTATAGTCAGTGAAAATAGCTTTCAAAAATGGAGAGAAAATACATTTCCAGACATACAAAAGCTGAAAGAATTAACTATCAGAGGAATTACAAGAAATGTTATGAGAAATACTGAAAGCAAGATGATATCTGATGGAAATTGTGTCTACACAAAGAGATAAAGGACATCAGACATAGTAATTATGTGAGTAAATTTAAAATACATTTCTCTGTTATTTATATCACTTTATAAGACAATTGACTGTTTAATCAAAAACAGTAATAACATATCAAAGAAGTAAATATATAACAACAGTATCACAAATGCTAGGAGGGAGAAAGGGCTCACTGTTGTTAAGTTTCTTATGGCATACTTCAAGTGGTATAATATCATTTGAAGACTATAAGAGTTAAAGTGTTCATTGTAAATCCTAAAGTGACCACTGACACAGCAAAACAAAGAATGACTAATAAGCCAATGAAGGAGATGAAACCATAAAAAATACCCAACTGATTCATAGGAAGGTAGGAAAAAAGCAACAATGGAACAAAGAACAAAGGAGACAAATAGAAAATATATGTCAGGATTACAGATTTAAGCCAGCCCAATTCATAACTACATTA